CTTAACAAAGTTCTTCTTGTTGTCTGATACAGCACTGACCAGTTTCAACTTTAATTGAGCATTGGCCTTTCATCATACATACACATTTCAGAAAGACTGCCTTGAATTTCTGGAGGAGCTTCTACAGTCACTTGCAAATTTTGATTCCTTCCTCCTTGTGGGGAAGGAAGTGAAATTTAAAATATAAATGGGACTTTTGTGTAATACAGTAACATGTTCTACTCAAAAAGTCCTAATTTTTTGATTAAAAGATTTAGCTTTCAAATGATTTCATATTTTGGAGAAGAGGGGGAAAAAAGTAAATACCAAACTTAAATTTAATCTTGTAGGCTCATTCCCAAGTACTCAGGAGTCAAGAACTCTGCAAATCAAATTAGAGTATTTATAAACTGATGCTTTAAGGGACACTTGCTTTTCTAAAGTCTGGGACAGGTGGTGACCACTATTGGTGGTACTGTAAGAGCCTAAGAAGTATTTTCTCCTTTGCAAGTGCCTTTCAGTATGAGATGAAATTTGATGTTGCTGCTGTTGTGATTTGTTTGTTTTTAAGTAATAAGTATCTGATCAATGCATTGAAGTACTGCAAGTATGCCAAAGATATAACTGTTAGAAATCTAAATTTAATTTGTTTTGTTTCGAAGTACAGGCAGTCATATTATAGAACTAGTACCAAAAGGCCAAATGACACGTTAATCTCCAAATATATGAAAAGTGCTAGCTCTGCTAGTGTTAGAGATGTAAATGTTTTAAATTACTTAAGTTCTTGCAAAGAATGATTTTTTACTTCATTGTGTAAATAACTAGAAAAATACTCATAAGGTAGCAGACTTAAAATATGATTATTTTTGTAATGTAGCATTTTCTGGTTTTACTTGGCTGAATAATATTGTGACCTAACAAAAAAAAAAAATCAGTGATACAGTTTTGAAGGATGGCTTTCAGGAGTTCTTTTAGAGCAGCCTCCTTAGCCCAGATATGTCTGGTTGAAGCAAGTGTAAGAAGTTGACTACTCTGAACCAATCAACTGGCATTTCTTAAAGGAATTCATGCTTGTGAGGTCTCAAATACCATAGATGCAATACCAGTACTGTTCACTGGGAGCCTCAGAACTGAACTACTTTGTAATACTTCTACCGGGAACAATTTTCATAGAATTGTGGAACACCAGGTTGGAAGGGACCTCAGGGATCATATGGGCCAACCTTTCTTGGCAAAAGCACGGTCTAGACAAGATGGCCCTCACCCTGTCCAGCTGAATCTTAAAAGCCCAATGTTGCAGAATCTACCACTTCCCTGAGGAGATTATTCCAATGGCTGATTGTTCTTATTGTGAAAAATTTTCCTCTTGTGTCCAATTGGAATCTCCCCAGGAGTAACTCGTACCCATTACCCCTCGTCTTTTCCATGTGACTCCTTGTAAAAAGGGTGTCTCCATCTTCTTTGTAGCCACCGTTTAAATACTGGAACATGGTGATAAGGTCTCCCCTAAGCCTTCTTTTCTCAAGGCTGAACAAACCCAGTTCTCTCAGCCTTTCCTCATATGGCAGGCTTCCCAGTCCTTTGATCATCTTGGTGGCCCTTCTCTGGACCCTCTCCAGCCTGCCCACATCTCTTTTGTATAGCGGGGACCAAAACTGAACACAGTATTCCAGGTATGGCTTGACAAGTGCTGAGTAGAGTGGGTTAATGACTTCTTTATCTCTGCTGGTGATGCCTTTGTAGCTGCAACCCAGCATTCTGTTGGCTTTCATTGCCGCAGCAGCACGCTGTTCACTCATACTGAGCTTGTTGTCCACCAGGACCCCCAGGTCCCTTTCCACAGAGCTGCTCCCCAGCCAGGTAGATCCCAGCCTGTGCTGCAATCCTGGATTATGTTTCCTTACGTTTGTCTTTGTTGAACTTCATAAGGCTCTTGTTAGCCCTCTCTTCCAGCCTATCCAGGTATTCCTGCAGGGTGGCTCTCCCTTCCAGTTTGGTATCATCAGCAAACTTCATCAGGGTACACTTGTTCCCATCATCCAGATCACTTATGAAGATATTGAACGGTGTTGGGCCCAATATTGGTCCCTGGGGGACCCCAGTGGTGACAGGTTGCCAGTTTGAAAAGGAGCTATTCACCACCACCCTCTGGGTGCGGCCTGTCAGCTAGTTCCCCACCCATGGCACAGACCACTTGTCGAGACCATAACACATCAGTTTCTCTAGGAAGAGGCTGTGGGAAACCATATCGAAAGCCTTGGAGGAATCCAGGTAGACAATGTCCACTGCTTACCCTGCATTAACCGAGAAGGTTACTTTGTTCTAGAAGGCGATCAGGTTTGTCAAGCGCGATTTGCCCTTGGTGAATCCATGCTGGGTTTTCTCAGTCATCACGTGCTTCATTTGACGTGTGATAGCCCCCAGGAGGATTCTTTCCGTAACTTTCCCCAGGGACTGAAGTAAGACTGATGGGTCTGTAATTTCCTGGCTCCTTCTTTAAGCCCTTCTTCTAGATGGGGGTTGTTCTATGATTCTGTGATTCTGTTTTACAGTGCCACAGTTGGGATCCTATGTTCTTTGCTCAAAAACTGCTATGATAAGTTATGAAAATATAAGTTTACTTCTACATATATAATTTTAAATGACTTTAAAAATAAATTAACTTTTTTATTTTTGACGTATTATATTAATTGTAAATTAAAGGTATTATGTAACAGCTACCTCCTCTGAAAGTATCATCTCCTCAGTAAGGGATTTTTGTTGGTAGTTCTTAACACGAAACTACAGTTTTCATTTCTTCACGTGATAAAACTGCCTTTTCAGTTGACCTCTAAGTTTCTTGTGGTTTCACGACAGAATTTTAATTTGATGTGGAATTACAAGGGCCCTGTAATGCCAGTTTATGTACTACTTACCTGAATTAAGGAGGTAGAAAAATCTTAATCTCTGTTTACAACTAAGTTTAGTAATAAAATATTTCTGATTTTGCATTATGGAGTTTGCTAGTTGGAGGTGGCAGGGGAACTACTGTGGTTCTCCACTGTTTGACATATTCCTAGGTAAATTGTTCCCTCTAGGCCTCTGCTGTTCCTTAGAGCACCAGAATCATCGGAGCACGGTGTGTGATGTGCTGATATCTTTTAGTAAGTGTAGGAAGAGAAATGGACTCTGCCAAGAATTTTTGTAAGTCAAGAGAGGAAGGCCTGAATTCATCCTACTTGAGGTGCTGGAGTCTGAACCACAGGTTCCATAGGGTTCTCGCCATTTTCCCAAGAGAAATACAGACTCTGCCACAAACGAGTTTAGCCTTTTCAAAGGAGGAAGAACAGAAGTACCAAAGTTTGTCTGCTATCTTGTACCATGTAGAAAGACAAGACGGGAGACCTGATGCTACAGGCTGCTTCTAAGGCTATCCACTGCTATAGAAGCCCTCAGTAAAACCTTGCATGTCCTTTGGTTTCTCACCTGTTCTTCCCTGTTTAGACAGAAATTAATAGGGATCTGTATAACTTGCCATCATCCATTCGTTTTGGGGAGGGGATATCATTCGCATACTTGTGTGGCATTTATACTAATATAATTCTATGTTCATTTAGCTGTTAAAATGTTTTGTGACCTTACTGTAACTAGTAGACATGGTTCCAAGCAGTCTTTAACTTCTTCGGGTTATCATTGGCAAGTAAGAACGTCCTTCATGCCAGAAATGCCAGAAAATTTTCCAGGCCTTCTCAATACTGCTGACTGAAGCACCAAGTCCTGTTTCAAACAGCAGTCTGGATTCAGTTGTCAGTGTGTAGTGTGCCTAGCACTGTATTGTGGGCCAGCATGTGTTCTGGGTTTGTTGGCACAAAAGCAATAACCATTTGGTTTTAATGAAAAAAGGAAAGTAAGGCTGGCAAGGGAAATGTTTTTAAGAGGTAGTGAACTATGGTTTTTATTTTTCTGTCTTCAAAACAGAGGGCATTTTAGCTAATTATGTTTTCTAAACATAATCAGAACAGCACATCCCAACTACAAAAAGAAAAATAAATGTAAATTGAAAGAAGTTGGAGGAAATGCAGCATTATTAACAAGGGAAAGTTGACTGTAGTTCCTTTTTTACTCCCATGTGATACTGTAATGTAGCACCAGGAAGAGATTCAAATTGCTTTCAAAGCTTCTACTTCCCTACCATTGCAATACTAGAAGGCTAGGAATGGATAGGTAAATAATAAAAAAGATATGTCTATGGATGACAGCTGTGTGGTTGAATATTGATTACATGGTATAAAAATCACTTAAGATACTCGAGTCTGTATCTGTAGATTACCTGAACGAGAGTGATGGCGGTGAGCAGGAGATTCGAGGAAATCACCAATAGGAAGAAGGAAAGATGCACAAACCAGAGATACTTACTTTGCTGAGTGGCAAGGGCATAGGCAACATATCAGCAAATGAGTTTTGGTGTGTCCCTCTCCCTTTTAGTCTCCTTTCAAAGAATACATGTATGTATCTACATTAGCAGGATTTTGATCAAAATTTTGTTCTTGCAGGCACTGACAGTATCATTAAGTTAAAACTTGGGTTTGAAATTGGTATGTCTGAAATACTGTCAAATTCTACTCATTCTTACAAAGTATTCATAGGAGGCTTTCAAAAGGCATAACCTGTGCTTTTGTAAGGCACCACTCCTATTCTGCTTCTTAAAAGAAAGGGTTTGTGGGCATCTGTTCCAAGAAAAGATTCAGAATTGCCTTGTGGTGCTGAGTAATGGGGACTCAAAGGTTGCCCCTGTCTGTGGCTACGGTGAGGGGCATATCCCCCTCAAAGCCTGCTTTGCATCACTGTCTGGTGCAGCTCACTTTTCCCTCTATACGCTGTGTAAATGCTAAGGTGCCTAACTCAGGTGGGATAGCGCTGGGCTGTGCCCTTCTTGGTTGAATTTTAGGTGCTGCATAGCTGAGCAGTCCCTGGCCCTTGTTGGGTCTGTCTGTAGGTGTTTGTTTCCAAAAATAACCAAGATCATCTTTTTTTCTCTCTAGAAAAGTTGATTGCATATCAACGGGAATTCCATGCTTTGAAGGAACGTCTTCGTATAGCTGAGCATCGCACTCTGCAACGCTCTTCTGAGCTGAACGCTATCTTGGAGCAGTTCAGGCGTGCAGTAGCAGAAACAAATGGGAGTAAGAATGCAATGAATAATTTTTCAGGTACATACTGTGATTGAGCTATTTTTTATAACTCTGCACTACTAATATCTCTTGTTATTACTGAAGAATAAGAAATTAATACCAAGAAAGCTGAATGAAACTGTTCAGCGGAGCAAATAAAAAATCTGTAATACCTTATATCTGGTGGGGATTTTTTTGTTTTTTGTTTTTTCCAATTTCTATTCTTAATGATCTACCCACTCTTCATTCTTATGACTTTAGCAACTGAATACTTATTCCACGCCTAGCTGGTTACTTATTTAACATACTGAATATATTTTGACATTATGTAAATTATTGTCATAGAGCTTGGGGGGAAAGGTGAGCAAATAGATTTAAGAAATGGATGAACTTGAAGCAATTAAAACATGTTTAAAAGTCAGCTGGAAGATGTAAAACCATACAGGTATTGGTTACGATTTGTGAAATGTACAGATAATGTCCTTTTTAATAACTAGTGATTAAATGCTGAACTGGTAAAGTCTTCCATAAGTTTTTACCCATTTCGGAGGCTGATGCTCAAGTTTACTGAGAGCTATGTTTGGCAATATTAGAGAATGCCTTCACACTACTCACCAGTTTTGAAGTTAACTTTTAAAATCACACTATTATTGCTTTAGTTACTCTTGACTATTCTAGATAGAAAAGGAATAACAAATAAAGATAAACTTTTAGGCGAGAGGTCTGATTTGGTAGATTGCAGAAATTTCACTGTATTGGCCTAATAAGGAATATAAACCCAAAGATTTTTGCAAATCAAAAAACTGGATCAAGCTTTTTGAATCTCTTTTCTACTTGTATTTGTGCTATGGGTTACTATCTTCTCTAGAATTTTTTTTTGGGGGGGGAGGGTTATAACTATAGGCCCTCAGTGCTGATATTAAGGATGAATTGCTCTGTCTGACACTAATGGCCTATTCAATCTGTAGTCCCCTGGACCTGCAGGAAAGGTTACATTTAACATAGTCTGTGACTCTTGTCTTCCTCTTCTGTGTGTGTTTTTGCTGTTAAAGTGAACAAAAATAGAGGAAGTCATGTAAGTTTGCTACTGGATTTATGATTAAATTATTACCACATTTATTTCTAAAAATGAGTTAGCTTGCTTATAGACAATATAGTCATAGGGAGTTATTCTCTTCTGATGCAGCTGAAGTTACTGATTCACATTTTAAACTTTTTACCATGTCTGGATCTCACCTGGGACATCCTCTTTTTTGCATGTGGAGCCATGATGGGAAATCAGCTGAAGTCTGAATTCCTGAGGTTTTGTGCTCAGAACTTAGTATTAGATAGATTTTATTAAGTTTAATGTACTTAAGTGTACATAATACTATTTAGTATTTGCTCTCTCTGAAGCTGAAAGAATTCCAGATTGTTTTATGTAAATCATTATTCATTCATACAAAGAGTTGTATTTTGAGAGAATTTTTAGTCCAGCTTTTGCAGTAGAAGCTAAAGGAGATGTTAGCAGGAAAAGTAAAACGTACCTGTACTGGAATCTATCAAAATTAGCATCTCTATTTACAGCATCTATTTACAAAGCATTTTTCAAGATTATAAGTGATTAGGAATTTAGTTTCACCCAAAAATAAATATTAAAAACAAAACTCACAGCAAAACTGTTCCAGCTTTGTAGAAGCTACACTCAGAATCTGAGAGGAATGACATTTATGGCATTACTTTTCTCACTTCTGCACAATTCAATTTTTTCTCAGAAACCATGAGTATAGTTTTTTACTTAACTTGATATTGTAAAGCCCATAAGTTTTCAAAGGTCCATATGCTATCATATTTGTCATTTGAAATAAGAGTTGTTTTCACACTTGATGGAAGACAATCAACATGCACAGCAGGGGAATTTAAAAACTGTTATTTGCAACTTTGAGAGCCACGTGGACATCCTGAGAGGCAATTATTCTAGAAAGAGCAAGAATTATTTTAAGTACTGTAATGGACTAAATTAAATTCATGTTAGCATTCATTTTATTGCAGAAACACTCAAAATCTTAATTGTGTATTTAATGCTATTTGAAAAGTTATTTTTAGTAGCATCACTACATGGTGATGAGCTCTGTAAGTGTAAATAAAAAATAATCTAGGTAAATAAGCCTCCCATTTTGATTCGTTGGGGCAGGAGGGGGAACCAACCTAAATAAATGGAGCATTCTGTACTTCTGTGATTACACACTAAGTCTTGTGTGATCAGGTAAGTATTAACTGTATCTGTAGCAAAGTTACCGAGTGGAAAATAATCTTGCCCATAGTTTATTTAAAAAATTAAATCAAGAAAAGACTTCCTTTGTACACAAGATATAATGCTTCAGTAAAATGCATTATTTGTTCTGTTCTTCGGTTAGGACCAGGCTTGGGATTTTGTATTATTTACCACTGCATAAAACTTCATATTGTTCGGTTTCTGCATTACTGATTTCATGTATATTTGCAGATGAGACGCTGAAATTGTTAAAAGAGCTAACAAGTAGAAAATCTCTTCAAGTGCCAAATATCTATTACCATTTGCCTCATTTGTTGAAAAATGAAGGAAGCCTTCAACCTTCTGTGCAGGTTGGCCTTGGAAGGACAGGAGGTATGCTGATACGATATTTATTTTATGTTTTATATCTGGAGGACTTTCTAGTTTTAGTAATAGAATTTACTGCATTACTTGCTAATCAAGGACATCTCATTTAACTTGTGTGATATTGATATCTCAGAATTCGCACTGAATCCAAGATGAAAGGAGTTTGGCTTCTTTTCTGCATAATCTCAATCACACCCCATCCCGTGTTAAGCTACACATTAAAAAGCATTTAGTTTGGATGAATTTTTTGTAACTAAGTAAAAGGGAACAAAGCTCAGGGTTATGAACAACAGATTCTGAACTGCTAATGGACATATCCCTTTGGCTTTTCAGATTTGTGGGGCAACCATGCATGGATATAATTATTTTAGATTTGGTATTTCTTGTTTTTTTGAACAATATATTTCAATGTATAACTTAGAGTTAGGAGAACTAGGATAATCAGATATAATCGCATTAATAAAATGTGGACATTCATTGGAGGGGAAAAAAAAATCATTGTTGTGCTGCAATACTGTTGATCCTCTTTTTTCTTCTAATCCTCACAAATTCTGAGCTTTGGTCATTAGGATAGCTCTATGGAATCCCACTTTTGAGCTCTAGAAAATAAATAGCATAAAGCCCAACCAAGCTGATATACCTCAGAGCATATGTGTGTGTGTGTCTCTAAGCTTGAAGGCCCCACCAATGAATCCTTGTTTCTCTGTGTGCCATCTGACTTGAATGGCTCGTGTTATTGTCCACTAGGCCTTTCTTTTTTAATTTTCTCTCCCTCCTTGCTTTTGAAAGAAGCATTACTTACTCAGGGCCTGTATTTTTTTCTTTACTTCACTAAGTTTGATTGCTCCTTCTTTTAACAGAAGGCATGCCTGTGTGACAAATGTGCAGACTCAAGCCATAGGGTTATTTTTCTGACTATAAACACCATTTATTTCAATGTTGTTATTCAGGAAAGAAAAGGCTCCTATTCCTTTATTGTTTCAAGTGAAGCCTGTGTTATATCCCACTGGGAATATACGACAGAAGTTTGAAATTACAAAATAGAAATTGGAATCAGATTTATTTAATTAAAAAGAGGAAAGAAATTCTGAGTTAAAATTATTTTCCTATCTTCCCCTTTCCTGGTCACTGTGCTTTTTGAGTGTTTGTTTTTAAAATTCAGAGCTTGTTAATGTGTAGTTGCTAGGCGAAGCAGGCTCTATAAGGAAGGATAACCAACATTTTTTAATAGTTGTTTGATTTTATGTATTTATGATGTGGTAAATCATTTCACACAGATGGCTTGGAATGCAGGTGCTGACTTCATGAAGTCTGCTTTATCCTTTTACTGTGTTCCTGCTGCTATCTGCTGTGCTCCTAGTAGGTAGCCAGCCCTGGGTATGGGATGGGGTGCAGAAGAAAGACTGTGGGAAAGATAAGGAACATGGGAGTCAATGGCCAGCTGAAAGATGGTATTAATAAAGTTGTAGCTGGGGCCAGATTGCTTTGCATTTGAGGTGCTTTTAACAGGGATAAGAGATTTCAGTGAGGAATTTCTGGGCAATTCTGATGACCTGGACTTGTTTTTCTAGAAGACCTCAAATCAGGTGCAAGGAAAATAATAGAGCTTTTTTTCAGCAGTGTCGTTTTAAAAGACGACTTCTGAGAAGTTAAATATTGGTTATACCAGTTTGAAAATAAAACTTAGGTTAGGGAGTTTAATAACTCTGTAAGTCTTGGTGCACCTCATCTGGTTAATACCATGGTTGTTGATTATTACCTATGCAATAGTCTGGCATGTCTAGGATTCCTTTTTTGTGTTTGCTGTGTTTGCTCTGAGTGTTGGTGGCAATTATGTTAATCATGCTCCTGGTGACGGGTGGTGTATTTTTAAACTGTTTTTAATTAATGTTGTCTCCATCTTTTAACTCTTTGCATTTCTTAAGCAATGCTTTATTTCAAGATAAGATTTTTGTTTTCTATCTTGTGTATGAAATCACTGAAAGTACATTTCTGGTTTGTTTGATTTCAGTTTCCATTGTAATGGGAATACCTACAGTGAAAAGAAAAGTCAAGTCTTACCTTACAGAAACTCTCCACTCCCTTATTGATAAGCTGTCCCCTGAAGAAAAAATGGATTGTGTTATGGTTGTCTTTATAGGAGAGGTAATCACTTAAATATTTTTATACAATTTCTAACCTGTCTCTAGTTGCAAGTACCACTCCTTTCAGGAATTGATGGGGATCTACTTTTTCTTCAAGATGTACACAGATGACTGTCTTCTCCTTCCGTGAAAAGGAGACAGTGTCAGTCTTGTGTTTCTGAGAGAAACGATCCTGAAGAGCCCAGCTTTTTCTATTTATCAAGGGAATAGTGGACATGGATTCAGTGGACTGGTTATTTTGCAAATCTTCTGATGCTTATACCTAGTGACAGAGATTGCTAATTACCTTATTCTTTCCACATCAAAATAATGGCTAAGGTACTCTGGTGTTTTAGGGAGGATTCTTCCCATTCTCTTCATGCTACTGCTTTGTCCTTCCTCAAATGAGTACTGCAGTTTGAAATGTTAGGCACAGATTGTTACTGATTTTATTTTCTGGACAGTGTGGATATTTTAAGTCCAGACCTTTTTCATGGATTAAGTCAAACAGTGTTCAGTTGGACAGTTTGGTCAGTTTGGCTCCGATTTAGTGGAAGTCAAATTTAGGAAAATGATAGAATGCTTTCAGAAATGATTCTGTTGGCTGCTGGGAATTGCATATATTTATTTTGGTCTGTATGTTTTTCTCAAAAGTCTGACTTGGAGAGTGGGAAATTTATGTATATGTTTGCCTTCATCTATCTAACCATATAGTGCTCTACTGAAACAGTGTTTTATGAGTTCCACAGATGAAAATTTGAATCCTCTAGTTATAAATGTGAAAACGGTTTTAATCCTGTGAGCCAGCGTCCATTCAGGGATGAATCAGTGGAAAATCAGATAGGCATTTTAATACTTCTATTATCAGCACATTTTAAAGCTTTCCTCGAAAAGTTTCTAAACTTTTTACCTGTACCTGAGAACTGATTCTTACGGTTTTCTAGTATAAATTGCTCTGTTTTCTTTTTCTTGACAGTCAGTCAAAAACTATCTGTCAGGATAGATACTGCTTTTCTGCAGAAACACTCTTAAAACATCCATTGGTTGAGAATATCAAGAGAACCGAATTCATTCTGAATTACTGGAACACTGGATTTTTCTTCACTGTATTAGTTGGAGTAATTTTATTGCCTTTTAGTGTGGCTTCTTTTCAAGGTTTAAAATTGAAGTTTTGTTTTGTTTTGCTTAAGGAGGTCTGAGCTATGAATACTGTGTCTTATAATTGGATTCTCTGTCTTCTGCAAAACTTGGAATAGGACTGAAGAGAATCCACACTCTGTCCCCAACTGCACAAGTTTCTCTTGTTGCCTTATACAAGCCATATTGCTATACCCGAGTTTTCCATAGCTAAATAACTTTCTTCCTTTGAGGTGGTGTGAAATTCTCTTTCATCTTGGGAATGATTCTACAAAAGTGACCATGAAGGAACTGAACATTTTAACATGGGAGATATTGCTTCTGTGCCCAAGGAGAGTTGTGTGGTTTGCTCTGGAGTGGGATACTGTTACCCTCTGTATCTTATCTCTGTATCTATCTTCTTGAGAGCAACACTACGTGCTTACTCACGTATCTGCTGTGGGCACTGCAAGCCATGAATGTCTGGGAAAATTTGAAGAACGTAAGTTTAAATTCTGGTCCTCTTATAACCATTCCTTGTAGGTCTTTTTCTTTACTCCATCCAATTTTATGTCTTCCCTGCTTTACTATTTCCTTGACCATGTTTTATATTTTTTTAAGTTCAATATCTTATAGTTTGTTTTGTAATTGCTACAGGGAACTCTCTCAATGAATAATATGGTACAGTAAATACTTCATCCTGAGCTATGCTATGTTTTTTCTGAGTTACGCTGTATATTTCAGCTTCCTTCTGCAAGATGAAAAGTGTAGGTTTGTTAAGCATTTTCTCTGGCTGTTTGAAGGAAGGCCTGCTCCCCTGGTGGACTTCTGTTTCTCCTTAAACAAAAGGAAGGGCTTTAGCTTTTAAAATAGCTTTGTCTGTGAGGTTTCCTAGCCTAAAATGTGTTAGACTATTGCTATAACATGTGCGTTAATGAAGGCTTATTTAAAAATACATTAGAACTTTGACCAGCTATGCTTGTATTAAAAACGATGGCAAAAGTTTCTGAAAAAAGGTATGGCCTCTGCTCAACACCTGTGCAGTTTAAGTACAGCAAGAAATGGTCATAGTGTGAGGTTAGGTGATTTTGCTAATAAACTTAAAATTACTATCTGTGCTTTGTCTATAGCTTGTACTAATAAAAAAAAAGTGCAAGACTTTACAAAAATGTTTTTATGAGAGAATTACATGAAAAAATGGTATTTTAAAAGGATTTTAGTATTTTCTTGCTGACTTTATTTGAGAAATCAAATTGACAGTGTTTAAGAAGCATTGCTGGGAGCCATAGTCATGGACTGTAATCTCTTTGTGCTAAGCACCCTAACAAACTTTTTTAATCCTGCTATTTTTTTTTAGCAGTTCAATCTCACTCCTTTCTTGTAAATTTGACTTTTTTGCTAGAAAACAAGTTGAAAATTAAGGCTAATGGCCTTCTGCAAACAGCATGAACATGTGTAAACAGATGAGCTAGTAAATATAGATGCATTATGGTTGCTAAATAAAGAGATTTGCATATTCATTTACTGTATGGGTATTTCTCAGTAATGTAATTATACACAGTAAATTTCCATACTGGAAGTTCAAGGAATTCTAAAATATCTCAGCTGATGTGAGATCTAATCACCAATTTAAATAATTACTAGAATTGCTTGACAGTAAACTGTGCAATTGTCCCGGTAACTGACATATGTCTGTGTTCTCCAGTTTGTTAAAATAACTTTATTGCAGAATAATTTGCAGGTATTCATTAGGATGACTAATAAATAGGCATGATTCATTATACCTCTATACTTAAAAATCTTTTTATTCCCCTTCACTATGTAGCTAGTTCATAGGCTCATCAGATGACTTGAAAAAAGTGATTCAAATCTCATAAACCTACTCTGTATGAGAACTTGCTTTCAGAATAAACTATAGGCTCTAGGTTTAAGAAACTATGAACTCCAGATTAAAATGATTGCCTAGTATTTTTATTTAATATAGTGTGTAATTAACATGGGAAACGTGGTTTTGAAGTATTTTACATCATCATAGTGGAACAACAAACGTGTATATATGTGTGTGTGTATATATATATATACACGCGCACTACTGAATATGAGAGAAATTAAAATACTTTTCTGGTATCTAAACAAATTTTTTTTTTTCCTGTAGGGAGATCTCATTTACCATGAAGAAAATGCATCTTACACTTGTTCTAAATATATCACAAATTATTGTCAGTCCACTTCATTAATCAGTGACTGCACTTAGCAGAGTCTTTTGTACAAACAGTAATCAGTGTATATTGGAAAGACTATAAGCCCTTGATTTGACCAAAAATATTAGAAAGACAGATCATTTCAGTAAGAATCAGAAGACACTACAGGTATGCAAAAGCGTTTTGCTAATTCTGTACGCTACTGATTGCATCTGACTAGGCAATAACTGACAGCCATTTGTTCTTGGAACACTAGTCCATATGTTACACTTTATTGTGTATTGCTTATTCAAGTCTTGCTCTGTTGTTTCATGTGTATACAATTCACTTAGGCTAGAAAAACTTGTACGTCTTGAATATCTTTTACTGTTACCATGTCATCTCTTTATGTAAACAGTGGCTGCTAAATTACAAAATGTTGATCTTCAGTAGTGTTTTCTCTGTCCTCCTTTTGTGGAGAATCTTTTTTTCTTTATTATTTCTTTGGAAGAGTTTCTGTACTGGTTAGGTCAGCGTGACACAAGCACCCAGTAAGACACTATCCTGTGCGCTGGTATGAACAGAGCTTCAGCAAATTAAGCACGGAGTGTACATACTGGGTCAAATCTTGCTGAACCTGCTTTGGATGTATTAATATTGGGGTGCAATATGGAAAACTTCTCCAGCAAAATAAACAGGCCTGTATTTTCACCTTTTCTTGCTCTGGACCTGAATTACAGATCTCTCTGATCAGCAGATCTCTTGATAGAAAACAAAGGAGTATTTTGTCTCTCTTGCTCTCAACTCAGATGTATTAGTATCATCGTGGCTGCAGAGATGTTCCATTCTTTCCGCTAATTGTTGAAACCTTGAGAGCTGCCCCTTCCTGGAATCATAGAATCATAGAATCATAGAATCATAGAATCATAGAATCATTAAGGTTGGAAAAGACCTCCAAGATCATCGAGTCCAACCGTTAACCCAACACCACCATGTGCACTAAACCATGTCCCTAAGCGCCTCATCTACACGTCATCTAAGCGCCTCATCTACACGTCTTTTAAATACTTCCAGGGATGGCGACTCTACCACTTCCCTGGGCAGCCTGTTCCAAGGCCTGACCACTCTTTCAGTAAAGAAGTTTTTCCTAATGTCCAGTCTAAACCTCCCTTGGCGCAACTTGAGGCCATTTCCTCTCGTCCTATCGCTTGTTACTTGGGAGAAGAGACCAACCCCCACCTCGCTACAACCTCCTTTCAGGTAGTTGTAGAGCGCGATGAGGTCTCCCCTCAGCCTCCTCTTCTCCAGGCTAAACAGCCCCAGTTCCCTCAGCCGCTCCTCATAAGACTTGTGCTCCAGGCCCTGGAGCTGCCCTGGAGAGAGTATTCCTAGTTCTGAGAAGATCTGCCTGCACATCTCAAGTTGGAGAAAGACTAATAGATCTCAGCATATACATACATATGTAAATTTTTTTTCTTTTAAAAAAATCAAAGCTAGACAAGGCTGTTGTGCCAAATTATATGTTATCTTCACCAGGTAATTTTAAAGTCCTACACAGGTGGTAGCCTTTGTTTTGGACATCTCACTCAAAACTGATCAGGATGAATACAGCTTCTAGATATACTGCCACCTCTTATATCTGGAAGGGTAGCTTGGCCTGTCAGTGAACATTTGAGATATTTAAGCAATCCCAGCTTCCTTGGCACCTAAGCTTTGGTACCCAAAG